ATTCCTGCTTCTTCCTCTTCTTTGAAAATCATTCCCCCTTCCCAAATAGAGATCTTGGAACAACATGATACTTCAGAAAACAATGTTCGACCACACAGAACTGTTTCTCGACCTGCTTATCTGAAAGACTATCACTGTTTTCTTCTATCAAACCAATCACCTTGTCTTTCTAACACTAAACATACCACTCCTTACCCTATTTCTAATTATCTAACCTATGCCAAACTTGAACCTTCTTACAAAACCTTTGTTCTCAACATTACTACCACCCAAGATCCCAAAACCTTTTCCCAAGCAGTGAAATCTGATCCATGGCGGAAAGCTATGGAACTTGAACTCGAGGCACTGATGCAAACAAACACTTGGTCTGTTTGTCCACTACCTTCTGGCAAGAAATCAATTGGCTGCAAATGGGTGTACAGAACAAAGTTTCATGCTGATGGTTCCATTGATAAGCATAAAGCACGTTTGGTTGCTAAGGGTTATACCCAGCAGGAGGGTATAGACTATCTTGAGACTTTTAGCCCTGTGGCTAAAATGACTACTGTAAGACTCCTCTTAGCCCTTGCTGCTTCTCAAAAATGGTTTTTGCACCAACTTGATGTCTCTAACGCTTTCCTCAATGGTGATCTCGATGAGGAGATATACATGGATTTGCCTCCAGGTTATGCTCAGCTTAAGGGGGAGTCTTTTTCTACTCCAGTTGTCTGCAAATTAAATCGATCTTTATATGGCTTGAAGCAAGCTTCTCGCCAATGGAATCAAAAGCTTTGCCAGGTACTTATCACTGCTGGTTATCATCAATCTGCAGCAGATTCTTCTCTGTTTTTGAAGAAAACTGGATCTTTGTTTGTGGCTGCCTTGATCTATGTTGATGATATCTTAGTCACCGGCAATGACATGGATATGATCACTGAGCTTAAACTGCTTTTAAGCTCCAACTTTCAGATCAAAGATATGGCTGATCTAAAATATTTCTTGGGTCTTGAAGTTGCTAGGTCTGAGCAAGACATATACATTTGCCAGCGCAAATATACTCTGGAATTACTTGATGATTATGGCATGTTAGGCTGCAAAACAGTTGGTTCTCCTATGGAACTAAACCTCAGACTTAGTCAAGAATCAGGGGAATTACTTCCTGATGCTTCTGTATACAGGAAGTTAATTGGCAGATTGATTTACCTCTCGATTACCAGACCTGACATTGGTTTCTCGGTAAACAAACTGAGCCAATACCTATCTCAGCCTCGTACAGCTCATCTCCAAGCAGCCATGAGGGTGTTACGCTATCTGAAATCAGATCCTGCTCAGGGACTTCTCTATTCCTCGCATTCCAGTCTGTCACTTAGTGGTTTTTGTGACGCAGATTGGGCAAGCTGCCCAGATTCCCGCAGATCTGTCACTGGATATTGCATCTTCCTTGGTTCCTCTTTGATTTCCTGGCGTGTCAAAAAGCAACATACCATCTCTCGCAGTTCAGCAGAAGCTGAGTATAGAGCGATGGCACAGACCTGTTGCGAATTGGTTTGGTTAGCCTCTTTACTTTCTGATTTAAAGCTTCGTCTTCCTGCTCCAGTAACCTTGTTCTGTGACAGCAAATCGGCTATACACATAGCCAATAACCCTGTCTACCATGAGCGCACCAAACACATTGAATTGGACTGCCATTATGTACGAGAGCAAATCAAGACTGGTTTTCTTAAACCATTGCATGTTTCTGGTTCTGAACAAGTGGCAGATTTGTTAACAAAACCTCTTGTTGTTGACAGATTTCGTTACCTTCTCTCCAAGATGGGGATCCACCATTTGTACTCCCCATCTTGAGGGGGAGTATCAAGGAGAAGCATTATTATTTTCTGGCTTTATCTATCTGGTACAATGGCAGCTACAGGAGACACCTTTTCCCTTACATGTTTCTAGGGTACTCGTAGTCTAATGTACTTGTACTAGGTTTGTTGCAAGTGTAAATCATTTTTATTACCTTCTTTATTATTCTTTTACAAGTGTATATATACATTGCCAAGGGCATAATGAAAAGAACAAGGAGGAATTTTTCTGAATCTCTTTTCTGGAGTCTCTCGATTTGTTACACCGCTCCATGTCTGCTTCGACCGCCCACATCTCATCTCTCCCGTCACCGCTTCGTCGGCTACTTGTTTACACCTCTGTCTCACTTTCATCGTTCTCGGCCGAAAATCAAGCCCTAACTCTGTCACAGCTAAGGTATTGCTACTCCCATCGTTCTTCAATTTCTGTCTTTGGGATTACCAGCAGGTTTGTCTGTGATTACAAGTTCTTCGATTTTTGTCTGTACGTGATTTGATTTGTGTTCTCCTGCCTCGTTATTTCCTAAAACAGGTAGACAAACTATGCTCCCGGGTTTCTATGGAAGCACGGCCAAGAAAGGAACGCATCTCACCGGATAGCTTGGGGACAAATCTGCTTGCCAAGACACGAGGGGTGGGCTCGGTTTGCACAAGATAGAAGAGAGAAACACAGTCTTCCGCTTGAAGCTGATATGGCTGCTTATGACAACGGCGAGTTCATTATGGGTAGCATGGGTAAGAAGAAACATCTTAAACCAAGGGACTTACTGGAGCTGCAGATTTCTATCGAATATATCGTGGAACCTAAAGAAGCTTTTCAAGATGAGAGACACAGCAAGACTGTTTGTTCAGACCAAACTTGGTAATGGGAAGAAAGCATCTTTTTGGTATGACAATTGGACCACTGGGACCGCGTCAGCTGCAACTGTCGAGCTTAGCATCAGTCAGCGATGCAATCATCGGGAGTGCATGCATGGCGTTTACCGGGTGCCCGAACAGAGAAGATCGAAGAACTGCATATAGCGTTGCTGTCCATCCAGCCACCCAAGACGACGGCAAAGATACCGCTCTATGGAAGCACAAGACCCGGGAGTATAGACCTTGTTTCCAAACTTCATCTACCTGGGCACAGATTCGACAATCACAGGAAAGTGTACAATGGAGCAGATTGGTATGGTTTATGGAAGGAAGTCCGAGATACTCCTTCGTCCAATGGCAAGCAATCCAGGCTATGTTACCAACGAAGGATCGATTGGTAAGATGGGGCTTACAAATCCAAGCAACGTGTGTTTTATGCGGAGAAGAAGACGAGACGCATCGACACCTTTTCTACTCCTGTCCATTTAGTGCAGCAGTATGGATGTTTTATGCAGGGAAATGCTGGCCCAACCATCTTGAGGGTGACCAGGCCGGGAAACAACCCGGAACATGGAAGAGTGGTGATTGCGAAGCTGATCTCCCAAGCGGCTACATACAAGTTATGGCGCGAAAGGAACAACAGGATCTTCCGAGGGGAAACACGTACGATCGGCGAAGTCCGCTCGAAGATAGACCGCATAATCCGTACGAGGCTCTTATCCGTCAAACTGACCGGTGGTAATCCAGCAAGGAATCTTCTACTTGAGCATTGGTACAGGCTAACATTGTTCTGAAAACTTAAGATCAAAAGTCAGCATTTTGCCCGCTTGTGCATGGGATATCCCCTTTATTTTGTAACCTTGGCACCATCAGGGTGAACTTTTGTACATTTTTTGACTAATATACGAACCACATTCATACAAAAAAAAAGATTTGTTTTCCAATGTCGACTGGAAATTAGTTGCGTTTTAGAGATTGCTCTGGTGACTGCGATCGCGGTGTTGTTCCTCTTGGTATAATCTGATCGATGTTTGTTTATAAGTTCTTGAAGGTTGTTTACTTTTGTATTGTATGTGAGCTCTGCTTGAAGTTTGATTGTCCTATGCACTTGAGCTACAGTTTTTTGTCCGCATGGCCGGGGATTTCAGGAACCCCGGTGACAGAACCAAAGGTGACTGACTTTCGGTTAAACCGGAAACATAAGGGTCCTAGCCATCGAATCCATAGACGCCGAACAAGAAACAAGACTCAAACTCTAGGCGAAATTGAAATCAAAATTCAAAATTCAAGAAACCGTAGATTCGAAATCGAAACCCTAAAAACATGGACCTGAGGAGTGAGGAGGACCCTAACGTCACGGGTTTAGCTTCGAGTTATGGAACTCCGTCGGCAGAAGGGTTCTCGGTGCGAAGAATCGGCGCAATTCCGTCTTGAACTGCAACCATGTATCCACATGTCGGCCTCCTCGCTCTCGATCGGCTAAGAGACGTCTCCACCATAATATCGCCACGTCCCGGAGATATAGTGGGGCGTATCGGATGCGTGTCTGATCATCGGTAACACCGTGTGCATCAAAATACTGTTCCATTTCGAATAGAAACGCTTCCACGACCGGAGCACTTCGGGTTCCGTTGTATGTTGCCGGTAAAGGAACCCAAAGAGCTTGAGTGTTTGGGGTCGGGATTGCAGCTGATCCGTTCCTGTGCAAGGTACACTCGAGCTTTAGATCATTAATCAATTTACGAAGATCGGATAGCTCACGGTCGTAGTCTTCTCGCAAGAGCCGGATTTTTTCGTCCATGGACTCCCGATTGGTCTGCACTCTTCGATTGAGGTCTGAGATCATCTCCTTGGCCGTGACTCTAACTGCATATATCTTCTGCTCAAGGTCATCCATCCGGCTCTCTCGTGAACCGAGAAACTCCTCCAAGTCTTGCACTCGGTTGCCAAGGCACTCGGAGTTATTCTCGTCGACTCGAGAACGAGCTCTCGTCGTGGGCCCGTGCTCAGACCCTCGTCCCTGAGGATTCTCGGTCGCGGCATGCTGGTCTGAGATTGGTGCATTGGTCTCGTTCGTGTGTGGCATGTTTTTCTCGGTTTCTCAATTTCTCGGCAATTACGGGTTGCGAAGTGGACTGCGTATCTGGTTCGTTTATGAGCGAACCAGTTTCTGATACCAAATATCACGCCTTTAGCTTCAAGCTATGGAATTCCGTGTGACAGAAGGGTTTGGTGTGGAAAAGAAACGAGTCGGCGCACAAAAAGAGAGAACTTGGGACTTGAGGAAAATTTAGGGTTGGCCAAGATGCCTCTCACAAATGGCGAGCTAGTTTTATTGAGATTGACTAAACGCCATTTATGAAAAGTTCACAAATTCGGCTCCCACATAATCACAAATTCGATCAGTTGTGCTGATACACTGGATCCTGTCTCATGCGCTCTGGCCGTAAAACGCGGGATATCGTGCAGGTTTTGTTTACCTTTTCGCTCTATCGTTTTGCGGATATTCTGTTTTTGGCTGACGTGCCCTAGTCTTACCAAAATTCATTTGTGATTGGTAGGGGTGGGTATTCGGTTCGGGTATTTCGGTTATTAACCGAACCGATCGATATATATCCGAACCGAACCGAACCGAATAAAATTAAATAACCGTTTGGTTATGATTTTTTAAAACCCGAAATAACCGAATCCGAACCGAACCGAACCGAACCGAACCGTTTATATATCTTCATTTATATATATTTATATATATATATATATGAATATTTATATTTTTTATTTAATTATTGTTTAATATATTTTAAACGAATTTTATCATTTATTTTTTAAATATTATAACTGAACCGAACCGAACCGAATATTTATTTGGTTATAGTTTGGTTATAGTTTTAAATAGACAAAACCGAGCCGAACCGAATCGAACCGAACCGAATAAAATTAATTAACCGTTTGGTTATGAGTTTTAATAACCCGAAATAACCGAATCTGAAATAACCGTAATCGATTAACCCGTAACCGATCGTTCGCCCACCCATAGTGATTGGGATCTAAGCATGTAGGCGCTCTTTTATGTGTGGGCTTTATGTTGAAAATATCCCATTACCATATATTTTATTGTGGAGGACATTTTACTCAGATGACCGAGTAGAGTCGTACGAATTTCAAAGGTACACCTCCGAAAACATAACGTATTAAATTCTTTTTGAAAAGACTATAATACCCTTAATGAATCCATATAATTTGTTCGGTCGAAAACAACTTTGTTATTACGACTTCATAATTAATTCTAAATATAATTACAATTGATTCTAAATAAGATGACAAAAAATTCATCTGTTAAATTTTAAAAATAACTACGTTTTTTTACCACTTTCATATTCATTAAATCATAACTATTTATTTTAGTTGTAAATTAGTTATATGTTAATTGTAACAAAGTCGTAAAAAAATGAAAATAAAATATTTCGAATCTAAAGTTGAAATTTTTTTTTATCTTGTACCAGTGAAATTTTTACCACCCAAATGGATCATTTGAGTAAAATGCCTACTATGGATGCCCTATTTGAGTAAAGCTTGTTTGTTTTTAAGAACACTAGTTTTTTTTTTTTTTGGTTGAAAGGAACACTAGTTTTTATTTTTTGTGTTTAGATGTTACAAAGTTTCTGGTCGAGCACTGCAAAAGTTGATGGTGACCAAGTGATGGGTTGATTCAATTTCATCCAAATAATAGTTTTTTTCTGTGATACTTCGTTTTCCTGGATGTTTTGAAGCATCGTCCTTCGAGCACAATCTGTTGTTAGTTTCATCTGGACGCATGTGAACTGTTCGATCAAATGCGTGAAAGAATTGAACGCATTAAAATTCCAGAACCAATAAGGGACTAAAGCTACGATATCCAATAAGGTAAATACGGAAACTAATTGAAAGTGGGATAGCAGAAGCAATCACCGTTCCAGGAGAGAATTTGAAATGTTTGAAGGTTTTTGAGACCTCATGCGATGACTCTTCCACATTATCAGCTTGCCGATCCAGCATGTCGGGAGGGTTTTGCGGTGCCAAAACTTCATTTCCAGAAGCAATACTGGAGCTAGGAAATGAGGATGTGGATTGGGAGTTTTTAAAATGACGAAGGAACAACTGCTGGATGCCAAACTTTGAAGGTTGCGACGGATGATCAGCTGAAGAAACTTTGCTTGATTTCGAGGCTGAAGACTTCCAACTTTTTTCTTGGTGGCATTTCCAGTCGCAGTCTGCAACACCCTAAAGAAATATCTAGACATCATGAAAGGATTTTCAAACAAAAATCTGACGTCAATGTCGAATAGACAAACCTAGAAGAGTATGAGAAATGCAGAAAGTGGCTGTCTTAAACAACACTCCAGCTCCAGGATTAATTGATTTGACAAATCTCTTGGTCACTTTCCTATATCTATCCATAGCTAAGTCATACCCACTGGTAACATCATATAATAGGAAAAAGAGAGGCACTTACAGCTATAGAAGTCTCAGAATGTCCCCAACCTCCCAGTTGCTGCCTGAACCAATAACGGTTACTTGTTAACAATGGATCCCAAATTGCTTGTCAATTTATTCAGTCTATCAAAATACACCGTTTATTGATATTGATTAAGACGATGTTGATGTTGATCCAAACACACCCTTTGTTAGAATGCGGAGACGAAACTACATAAGTTGCTAATACGAACTAAATTGCAATAGAACTATCTTATCAAATTTAAGAACCCATTTCCCAATATAATTAAAGCTTGCAACCAAGTTCAATCAAGTCAAGTAACTTTTCACTGCAAAGCTTCATCGTCCCCACAACAGTCCATTGATTCCATTTCATTCGAACATACCAAAAACTACCAATTCTGTTTCCTACCACTCAATCCATCAGAAATTTACTCTCTAAACTACAACCCATCAACTCAAGTATCGTTCAAACATCGGTCTTCCAACGTGCCCAGGATGAAAAGATCAAAGCGACATGTTTCGCAATGCCTTCCATAGACACTCTTTTGATTTCCAGAAACACCGAGTGAAATTGATCGAAACATAGACCTATTGAGATAAAATACGATCGAAATTCCGAAAGTTCCTTGCTAGAGTTTCGAATCCCAAATTGGGTTTGGGAGAATCGCCGCGGAATTTGGTCGGCGAACACAAAACCCTCAGCCGGAGCGCGATGCCAAAGTCAATGGAAGGAAGAGAAGAAGACGACAACGGAGAACGATTACTTACCGGCGATGTTCGGTTCTTCACAGCACGAGAAACGGCGGCGAGAAAGGCTCTATGCGCGGTTTAGGGAAGTAGAAAAGTTGAGGGGAGAGGATTTTCCCGCCTAAATCAGTGCTTGATTTGTCAAAGAAGAGGGAAAACTTTTTTTATTAAAAAAAAAGTAAAATCCGAAAAACCTTGAACTTGAAAAAAAAAACTTAAACTTGTAATACCAAATTTACAACTTGCAATTAGAAAAAACCTCCAACATATAGTCTATAAAATCATTGACCACTTTGACCAATTTTTCACACGAACTCAAATTGTTGTTGTCAGCACATATAGGTCAGCAATTTAAATTAAAATTTTGACACGTCAGCAATTTTTTTAAACGAAAACCGGTCCAAAACCGGTCTAAATCGCGGTTTAATAAACCGATACAAAACGAAAAAATCCCTAAAAATCTAAAGATGGAAAAATCGAAACAGAAAAAATCAAAATACAAAAACGCGAAACCCTAATTTCATCCTTTTCCCGATAGAAATCATCCAAAAAAACCTTAAAATCAAATAAACCAAAATTTTCAACCAAAAAAAAAAAAAACCAAAATGGCTCCCCCACATCACTCTTCATCATCTTCTTCTCCTTTGATAATTCTCAAAACCATATTCGTTATCCTTCTTCAATCACCTAAAGGGACTAGATCCCAATCAAGCCTATGTATAAATTATAGTGGAAATATTCCCATAAATTATCCATTTGGGATCAACGACGGTTGTGGAAGCCCTTATTACAAACACATGTTGGCTTGTTCCGACAACGCCAAACTGAGAACTCCATCTGGAAGATACCCAGTTAAATCCATAAGCTACTCCTATCTTCACATCCTTGTCTCAGACCCTTTCATGTGGAGTTGCGACAATAGAGAGAATTTTCGACCCACCTTTGAATTTTCGACAAAGGATGAAACACTAGGTTTGGAAAGAGGATGAAATTAGGGCTTCGCGTTTTTTTGTTTTGATTTTCTCTCTTTCGATTTTTCCATCTTTAAAATTTTAGGGATTTTTTCGTTTCGTACCGGTTTATTAAACCGGGGTTAGATCGGTTTTGGACCGTTTTCGTTTAAAAAAATTGTTGATGTGTCAAACTTTTAAATAAAATCGCTGACGTATCAACAATCCGACAATATATAAATTTCCATTCGTCTGAAAAATTGATCAAAGTGATCAACGGTTTTATAGACTTCGAAGTTTTTTTCCAGTTACAAATTACAAGTCTGAATATTAATTGACAGTTTTTCAAATTTAAAAGTTTTTTTTTTATATTTTAACAAGTTCGAAAGTTTTTGGTGATTTTATCCTTAAAAAAAAAAAGATAAATTTGTTTACGAGGACCAAAAAGCGGAAATGTTCGGGAAATAATGTCATTTCCAACCTAAGTTTTCCTCTCTTCGTTCCCACGCAGACTCGCCATCCATCGTTGTTGTCTTCTACCACCGCGTTGTCTCTGCTTCGACCGTCCACATCTCATCTCTCCCGTCACTGCTTCGTCGGCTACTTGTTTACACCTCTGTCTCACTTTCATCGCACTCGGCCGAAAATCGAGCCCTAACTTTGTCTCAGTTAAGGTACTATTACTCCCATCGTTTTTCAATTTCTGTTTTTGCGATTACTGTTGAATTTTCCGCCTGATGAAGCCAAAGCAGCCGTATGGTGGCAGTGAAAATTTCTTCCTTGGGCCCCATATGTCTTTTGTTTTGTTAGGCAAAACTTGCCTATAAATGAAGGCTTCGCAACAAGGGGGAGAGACAACACAGAGCGAGCGAGAGCAAGAAGCAGAAGGAAAAAAAAAAGTTGGGAGAGTGAAAAAAGTGAGAAAAATAGTGTGGGTATTTGGGAAGAGATTCGATCTAGATGTTTTATCTGATCGATCTAAAATTGTGAGGAGAGTTTTACACTCATACAAAGGTTTTTCAGAAGCTGTTCTCTACAGACCTAGTCTGCATAGTTCTGATCGTCGGGATATATGACGGTGGTTTTTCGTCTCCAGTTGAGTTGCAAATCGGTATAATTGTTCCTGACCCTTTTGTCTTTGATTTTTACGGTTTGAGTTGTTGACGAAATCAGAAGTCACGGGTTGATTTGCAGTTTTGTTACTACTTGTGGTCGGGTAATATTCTCTCGGGTTACTGAGATTAGAATATTGGAGTTAATATTTTGTAATCTCAGTATGTTGCTGTGTGAATGTTGTAATCTAATTATAATGAATTTTTGGGTGGACTATACAGTCTTGTGGTTTTTAGTCTCACACCGATGGGGTTTTCCACGTTAAAAATCGTTGTCCCTTTTATTTCGGTACCGTTGCACTAGATATTGTCATGCTCGCAGGTTTACACAAGTAAGGGGTTTGTCTTACTGATTCATAACAAACAATCGAAGTAACGTAAAACCCCCAACAATTACCAGCAGTGTATATTGTTTGTCTGTGATTATCAGTTCTTCGATTTTTGTCTGCACGTGATTTGATTTGTTTTCCAATGTCGTCTGGAACTTATTTTAGAGATTGCACTGGTGACTGAATGCATTGGTTACTGCGATCGCGGTGTTGTTCCTCTTGGGTATAAGCTGATCGATGTTTGGCTATCAGATCATTCCGTTCTTGAAGGTTGTTTACTTGTTTGTATATGAGCTCTGCTTGAAGCTTAATTTGTTCTCCTTGTATTTTCTGGAGTCATTGAGGCAACCCTAATGGATTTATGGTTTACATTTGGTTTTCTGGTTGGAAAATGTTAACAAGAATGAGGATTTCCAAACATGTTAAAAATGAAATTAATGGTATTAAGAATGACCGATTTTACTACAAGAGATCTTGTTGAAAACAAACTTCAGACTACATTTTGTTATTACGACCAAATCCATCCACAAATGTAACTATTATAGCTTGATTCTCAGTATCCTATGCACTTAAGCTACATTTTTGGTTCGCATGGTCAGGGATTTCAAGAACTCTGGTGACAGAGCGACCAAAGGTGACTGATTTTCAGTTAAACCATAAATATAAGTTCCTAACAATTGAATCCCTGAAAGGGACGTTTCGGTATTCATTTTGGATTCGGTTCTATTCTTTCGGTTCTACAAAAATATGTATCAATCGGTTATTTTTTCATAATCGGTTCGGATTGGTTCACTTTTTATTAAGAAAATTTTAGATTTTCTTAATAAATTTTTGGTTTTTCGAACTTTTTAAAAATTTGATTCGGTTTCGATAAATTCGATTTTCTAAAGAAAATATCGTTCGAAAATTGTAGGTTCAGGTCTAAGGTACGGTACCAAAATGTCCACCCCTAGACGAAATTGAAATTTCAAAATTCCAGAAACTGAAATCCTGGCCACCGAGTCGAAATGGAAACCCCATCGTGCGGACTAAAAATACGTACAATTTTTTAAAAAATTTATTATTATTTTTAAAATTAAATATAACATATTTTCTTTTTGATTTTATATTTTTAATAGTGTTGTGTATATAATTCAAAATTTGTAAAAAAATATATATTTTTTTTCAAAATATGCTTTCTGTAAATTTGAAAAATTTGAAACCAAATCGAACCGTATCGATTAAAAAAATAACAAAAAAAAACGATAATTTTTTTGGTAACTTCAAACCATTTTGCTCACTCACTTTATATCATCGACCAACTCTTTTTGTTGAATCTATTCACTGTTTTGTTGAAATCCTTATCATTTGACCGGGTTTTTCGTTTCTTATACAAAAAACATAATTAGATTGATGCTTCAAACCATTTATAGATACATCATCATTCACTGTATATAAAATTACTTGTTTCTTTGACTGAGTGCTCTGAGAGCTGTATGTCTTCTTCTCCACCCGATCACTTATTAGACTTTAATAAAATTTGTTCGGATAACTTTTCACTGTTAATATACACGTCAAGACTGATTCGATAAGTTTATGAAATATCTTCAAAATAAAAATCCAGTGACACCTAGAAAATCATTTTCCAACGAAACAAATATTTTATATTATATCTCATTAAATCTTAATAGTTTTTATGGTATTCATTATATCTATTTCAAATTCATAAGAATTGATACAAATATTAGTAAAAAATTATTTATCATATTTTGATGATATTTGTCAAAAATAAAAAATTAGTAGCTATAATAGAATTTATGTTTTTATTTGATATTTTAAAGTTGAAATATTTTTTATGTTAATATTATATAAATCCTAGATAAATATCTGAACTATAAAATTTATATATAAATTGATATATTTTTATGTAGTTTTTGTAATTATAATATTTTTGTCGTTATATTACACTGTCACATGACCATCGACATATTTATATTTATTTTTGTAGAGGGTTCAACCTCTCGAAACCTCACCGATTCCCTCTGAATCACTCGTTCCAACAAGAAACGAAAGAACACAGCGAAATACGAGTTCAGTACCGAGCTCTAACGCTCGGTACCTACGTCTTGGGAAGAGGAACAACGTTTGCTAGGGTTACATAAAAAAGACCGCCGGGGATCGAACGAGTCACCCCGGGGAATGACTCACCCCGGGGGAATGACTCAGTCGAGACTCGAACGAGTCACGGCCGAGATTCGCCCTAAAACACCGGTTTTCACCGGTTTTCCCCCCAGAACCTAGACCTAACGCAGGACCAAGTGAAATCTTACCTCCTCGGGCTCCGAACTCGGCTGAATAACTCAACCGAGTCAGATCTGAAACCCTACCTAGAATTTGCCGCCGATTTGAGCTCCTCCGCCTGTGGCTAACC